CCAAAGTATCAAATCCAAATGTAAGCTGCCCTCCAAACAGGCTGGAGAGCTTCTGTAGCAGGGAGGATAATATGAGGTAACAGCTGTGGGTGCTTTGTGAAGTGGAAAAACCTCTTGCATTTATTTCTCTGATGTAGCTTGTACTGTGGTTGGATTTGGCTCAAGCCAAACCTGCTGTCTCTTAAATTCTTGCTCCCAGTGAGGCTCCAGGTTCAGGACTGAATTTGCTCTGAGAGTCTTCTCTGCACTAAGTTTTTAGGACATTCTGCAGGACAAGACTATCCCATCTGATAACAGATTAACTGGCACTAGTGTTGGAATAAAAGTAGCATTCAACCAGCATTACTCAGGGTTCTGGAAGATTTCCAGCACTGTGTGGAAATCCACATGTTTGGAACTACCATTGTCACTCCTAAGCCCAGTTTGTTAAGTTGAACTGCAAATCAGTCAGTCTGTTCTCACCTCAGTAAAAACCAGGGTGATTCAGGAGAGGAGTCACAGGAAGATCCCAGACCCTGCCTAAAGTAGAGACCCATCCTAAGGGAAAGACAGAGAAACATGAGAGTTGCTGCTGATTCTAATATAGGGCTGCTGGTTGCTTGGGAAGAGCTGGAGACTACATTGATGGACCACCAGTCATCACTTGCTGTCTGCTAATTAAAAACCCAGTGGCTCACTGCTTTGGAGAGCCATCACCTTTCCTAACAGCTGAACACCCTCTGCATTCCATAACAAATAAAAAGGTATGTCTGTCTTAATACTGACATGCACAGACTTAGTTTAGATTAATTTATATTTGGTACTTCACCTCTGCTTTTCCTTGTCAATGAGAACTTTACATTGAGGGAAAAACCAGACATGGATTATTCCACAGCTAAAACCTCATTCTTCTATTCCACTTCAACTGGCATAAATCCAGAATTACTCTGTAAAAGTCAATGGAAAATCACTTGCATAAAGTGGAATAACATGGTCCTCTATTTTCATCTTGTAGCACATTTAAGCAGCAATAATTGCTTATCTGGTGCCTTTTGTGCTGCTGGGAAAGTGTTACTGGCCTGAAACATTTCGGGCTCTGTCAGTCTGGTAGACACAGGAATGGCTGGACAGGATTTTTCAAAGTAATTATAGGAACTGGCTTCCATGAGAATAGAAATCTGAGGAAACTGATGTGTGAAGGACAACTCAGTTCTACTCGCACAGCCAATGGAATAACAAAACTTATAAAAAAAACAAACTAACAACATCCTGAGTCCTGAAGCTTTTGTTCAGGCAGAAATTCCACTGATCTAGGAAACATCTAAAATTAGGCATTGCAGTGCCAATCAAGAGAACATGTAATTAATAAAAATAAAATATGCAAGTACCTAGCTGAGCCATGGAGCATTGCTCCCACTCACTGGCATGCTGGAATTGTCAGTGTATGAAGAGAAGAGACTACCCCATATTCTTCTGAGCAGAGTGCTAATGACTGCAGACCAGCCTTTATCTCCTAGGGCTGTGGGGTTTGTTTGTTATGATATAAGGTGGCTGAGCCAAATCCTAGAATCAGAGAAAGAACTGCCTGTATTTTACTATCTTTCAGTAAAAGCAGAAGTATTATCCAACATAAAGAAAAAATAATTTTGAGATCAGTTTTTAGTTTAAAGACTTTAGAGGTTCAAATAAAAAGAGCTTGAGTTGAATCTTATTTAAATATGGAATGCTTTGTCATCAGATATATTTAGCCTCAAACAAAAGAATACACTTGCTTCAAAATAAGGCAAAAGTGGACAGATGCATGTGAAGACTCTATTCAATGAGATTAATTCATAAACAGAATGTAGCCTAGGAGAAAACCACTCACTATAGCAAAGAAAAGTATTCAAATACTTCTTTTCTTGCTCAAAAAAAAAAAAAAAAAAAAAAAAGGAAAAGAAAGAATAAATTTGCTTGGAATGTAAAACAGGGAAAGCCACTGAACAAATGAAACATCTGCAGCCCTGAAGTTGCTAGGGTTCCCTCAAGCATTGCTCTAACTTGCAGCATTGTGATAAACTTTACCACTCGACAGACTGGAGGGAAAGCTCTTCTGCTATCCTCACATGAGCAGCTTCTTTCTGTTCCTCTCTCTCCTTGGCAGCAGAAGCTTGCATCAAAAGGAAACTGTATTAAAGAAAATAAAAGCAGAGGGTGTTAAGTTGGTTATATATTCAGTGAATGAAGTGACATAGTTACAAAGAGGAGGAAAAAATGCAGCGGCAGAACACAAAGCTGCTGTGTTCCAGAAACCAGCTCAAGAAAAAAAGTGCTATTTGTGAAGGAGCAGCTCTTTGAAACTTCATAGCCTGATTGAGAGCCTTTGGTGCCAGCAGAAGTCCTGCTAGCCTCACTGAACTTCAGATCAAGCCTTTCTCAGTCTTTGACATCGTTGCACTTAACATTAAAGAATGACTTGTTTTCTTTCAAGGTTAATACAGCTGAGGACTATTTTTAGTCACAGATAGCAAGTTTCCTTAAAGGAAGCATTTGACAAGATGTGCAAAAAATACTGCAATAAAAGTTTATCTTTGGGCTCAGGTATCTATACTGCAGCTCATTACAGATGGGAAAGATATGCCTTATTTACTTATTTGATGAAAGAATAAATTTTGATAAGCTTTATGGACCTCAAAACCTCTAAAGGTTTTTTTGTGATTAAAACCAAAATGTGGTATTATGTAGCCATTCAGCTCCACAATTAAGCTTTTAAGATCAAGTGAGAGAGAACTAGCGAACAGATAGTAAAGAAAATTGGACATAAAGACATGTGACCAGTATTAAAGGAAGTTTTTTATTGAGAGTGTATCAAATTCCCTTTTTCCCCATGCTATTCATTCTGCATACTGCTAATACCTGTCCAAAGCAGGCATCAAGTCAGGATCAAACACTGATTCAATTTCTGATATAACATAACCCCTTTCCACAAGTGGAAAGCCCACCAGGTACCTCCAACACATTCACACATTTTGAAAAGGAATCCTTGTGTTTTCTATTACGTGTGTGCACATTTATACATGCAGTGCAGTCACACAGTGCCTCGTTCTTGCTCACACATGTTGAGGCACGTGAACATTTGGCTTGGATCTGTATGGCTTACATTCCTCTAGGGACTTGTTTGGGAGCTGCATATAGTGGGGAAAAAAAAAAATCAACCCAAATGATGATTCATAGGGTGTGGATTGTTTTCATTCGGAAAGAACAAACCCTTAAAGCTAAAGAAACCTCTTTTAGAAAGAGGTTTCCACACTGAATGCAGACTCCTGGCTGGATCTGGCAGGCATCGTGTAGGCAGAGCCAGGAATCCTGCACCTAGCAACAATACCAGCAAGCTCTAGCAACAGTGCCTGGGCACCTTTATTCCCCAGGAGAAAAGGAGAGAGGATTTGAAGGGGGGAAAGCCTCCCCCAATGAAGCCTTGCCAAGCACATGAGAGAGGACAGCCCAAAACCAACACAAATGAGTTCTCTGTTTCAGAGTTATTTAACTTACACTGATTACCAAGCAGGATGCAGCCCCACAAAGCCTGGCAGACTTAGGCACACCTTGGAGGCAGATGTCTCCAGAGCATGTGTGCTCATCTGCTGGCTTTTACTGACACAAGCAGAGGGTTTGCCTCTGGGAGAGTAACACTCGAGTTAGGATTTGAGGATTTGTCTTCTGGTTCAGTCCCATACGAAACAAAACTCCCATTGATCACAGGTCCAAAAATTCCCTCAGTCACTTGCAAAGACCTTGAAACGACAGCTCATCAAACAAGTTGTCTTGCCTTGAAATCACAACAAAGCCAGCAGCCTCCTTTCCTAATCAGCTTTCCCAGCATTGCAGGCTTTGCCAGATTCCTGCCCTTGCTTCTAAGAGATGAAGTGTTTGGCTTGCATGAGTGTTTGCTGAAATCTCGATCACATTTTCCTTAAGAAACAGGAGAGCAAGACAGGCTATGTCCCAGCAAGCCTGGTGAACTGTTCCCAGCTAGCCTGGGCTGTCTGCCCTTCCATCCTGACGTTTCTTTGCAGCTTCCTCCCCTTCTCCTGGTTTCTTGGCTGCTGTGGTTGCAGCTTCTGCTTTTGTGTGGGACTTGGTTCCTCATTGTTTCAGCAACTCCCTCAGAGGGGTAAACTTTTTCCATATATGCTGATTGTCGGAGATTTGGTTCCTGTATTCCCATTTAAAAATATACTGCCTGAAGTTCAACTGTTTCCATTATAGTTATTACTCCTCACTTCCTGTCCCTTCTGGTCTTGGATTTTAACCATCAAACTTCAGCCAACAGTACACTACCAAGCCTTGACTTTCAATTCTTGAAAAGGAAGAGGCTCCCCTACACTGGGATTAATAGCTGCCTCTATAATTCTGACTTGGAAAATTAATCAGACTATTAAAACTCACTTGTCCTCGCTGGAAGCATAAAACTAAACCCCTAGAAAACAACCCTCATTTTTCCAGTATTATTTTCCTGTAGGTGATGGGAGAAATTACTTCAAAGCTAGCCTAATTAATAAAATCCAATCACTTACTATCTTATCTTGAAGAAGTAATACTTGGGAAAACATTGATTATTAATGGAGTTGGTGTTGGAATAAAGCAGTCTGCCTCAACCTGATGAGTCAGTCATTAGGCATCTGAAATGGCAACATGCCCAGAAAGGCAATTTGACATTTAAAGTGGCATTAACCTGCAGGTTATCATGGGTTGGAAATTTCTCCTGCTAAATGAAAGGACTGGAAATGGAACTAATGCATCAAAGTTCAGACAATCAACCCATTGGTAACAAGCTCAGATAAGCATCTCAAATCAAAACAAATGACCTGGGAGTGGAGGGAGAAGCTGGGAAGCATTTTCCATTTTCCTCATCATACAGCTGGGAAAAAAAGAGAATAAATAGAAGGCCCTGCTGCATTTTACTCTTCCTTGGCACTGTTACAACCAAATACTTAAAAAGAGCTACTTCAAACTCTTTTCCCATGTCTTTCTTCCACTAGGAACTGGTGTTCCTTCATGCAGTCCAGGCTGGTAACATACATAGAAGCCTGCATGAAGGAAAAGTACATTGTCAACTCCCAACAGCCCTGTCTAAATGGAAACCCAGACTGCCAGAAGATCATGTAAGTATCCTATGTGAAATGACTGAACAAACCAGAACTTTCTCTGAAGTATTTAAATGTTGTTTTCAATAGTTGTTTTTGCACATCTTCTCACGTGTTCAGAAAAATTACAGAGACCATATCTTTTTCAGAATTCTCAGGTCACGATACTGTTCTGCCAATTGACAGGGGCAGCAGAAATAACACAGATACCAATGAAAAGAATAGGCTTATTTTACTATTGGTGTTTTAAGATAATAGAAAAAGGAATAATATATTTACATATAAGGTTAGTTAACAAAGCCCTAATACAAACAGCTCAAACAACGAAGATAATAAGAAAGGTAATGCACCTAAGTGTTGCTACACACAGGAAATAGCAGTGATAAAGACACATCACCAATTGTCCTTATGCTTTATCATCATCCAGACCTGCAGTCGCTGGGGAGCCCCTGGGTGCAGTGAGGATTTGGAAAGTTTTCCTGGCAATTGGGAAGTCCTATGCAGTGTGTGCACTCGTAGCTAAAGCATCCAAAGTCGCTGCAAGAGGCTCCAGCTTTTGTAGGCCAAATTAGCCAGCAATCATCCTCACATCTATGTAGTTATTTGGCTGCAAAAATGCCTTTTTTAGTTGCTAATACAATTCATTTCTGTTTCTCCAAACAACAAAAATAGTTTTGTCATTATTTCTTGTGTAGATTCTAGTAAATTTTTATCTTCCTTGGTACCAGTGATAATTTGGAATACTTGTTCAAAAATAAAACTTTCTCTACAACACATCAGAATCTTCCAGAACTTTAGGATCAGTCCAAACCTGATTGCAAAGGACAATATTATGACAAATATTACAGTTGTGTTTCTGATAGTTACATACATTTGCCATCTGTGACATTTCTCATACTTGTGTCAGACCAGTGCCAGTATATTTGGCAGAACACTAAAGCATGAGGCAGAGCACTGGATCTCTGCTCACTGAAGAGCAGTTTTACTCTGACTGCACGTGAGAATGTGCACACACCTCCTGTTGTAAAGAGTAATCCTAAAAAACAATCTTATGTTGGTGGAAAAAATTTTTGTGGACTGTCTATATGTTTTACTAAGTTGCAGCAAGACAGATTATGACATATTTCTTTGCTGCATTCTGCATTAGTGATGTACAACACACCTGG